ATGTGGCTATATTTGGAGACAGGGTCTTTACAGAGGCAATGAAGTTAAAATGAGGCCATGAGGGAGGACCCTAATTCAATACAACTCATGTCCTTAGAAGAGGAAATCTGGATGCAGACATGTACAGAGGGAAGATGATGTAAAGGTAGGGAATAGATGGCCATTTACAAGTCAAGGAGAGAGGCCTCAGAAGAAATAACCCAGATGACACCTTGATCTCTGACTTGTAGCCTCCACAACTGTGAGAAATACATTTCTGCTGTTTAAGCTATGCAGTCTTTGGTACTTAATTATGGTAGTTCTACCAAGCTAATATAAACAGTAAGGATGAGCCAGTATTTCTGAAAAGAAACAGAGCTGCCCAACTCCCATGACAGCATGCCTACTTCCAGACTCTATGGGAGAGAGCTAAACTATCTTGTTTGAATTTATATATTTGAACTTTGTTATAGCAACTTAACCTATTCTCTGTGTAATACCTAGAGGGGGAAAAAAATGGAAACAACTTAAGGCATTTAACAAGAGTGAAAAAGTGAAGCAAACCATGATATATTCATCAAACATAACCATGAACTAGGGCCACAGCATGGAAAATGGCTGATAAAAATGTAAGTGTACATCATATACTCCTCAAACTATGTAAAATACTCATACAAAAAATATCCTGAAGCAACTATAGTAAAAAAAAATTGGTTCTGTCAGAGTAGACATTCTTTTCCATAAAATGTGGCTTCTTTACAATTATAATTTTAATTAGTTTCATCAATAATATAATGTACCTTTACACTTATCTCTGTAATTTCTATTTACTACTCTATAACTTTAAGACAGTGAATGGAATTACTCTTATAGTAACCCCATCTACTTTGATTTGAAAAAAGTGCCTACATGTTGTTCCTACCTCTTTACTTCCTTTTCACCAGTCTTTCCAGCATTATCTTATTCTGTTTTGATATGAAACAATAACTGGATAGGTGTGGTCAGAGATGGAAAATAAGGAGAAGAGATGGTAGGAAATAGGAGTAGACATTCCAGTTCCTTTCATTTCGCTTCAATCCTTGCAGAATTCATCATAAAACTGAAGCAAAGCTATTAAAGCTTCAAAAGACTATAGACATATTTGTGTATTAACTATGACGTATAAATGAGGCCTGAGAGCTGACCAATGTGAACAAGGTTAGCTTAACTAACAGCATAGGACATTATTAATTAGATTGTTCAGTTGACCAAGTCCTTTCAGTCAATCGCTAATATAAAAGCAGTGCAATTATGAGCTTCTGAGTCTAGAACTGCAGACTGATTTCCAGTTTGTTATACAGAACAAGCAATTTACAACTCATACCACATAATCTCTTGTTTCTATCTTATGAGAATATAGCCTTCTTTGTTAGAAATGTAGGAAGTTTCTTTCAAAGCTACCAATAGAAAATGACCAGGTGAAAGAAGATATATGCCACTGCTTAAAATAAAAATCAATAGAGCAAACTTAAACTTTGTAGATAATTACTTATTGTATGAATATTGGTAATGAAAAATAACTCCTAGATATACAAAATAATTTATGTATCATGGATGCTTTCAAATACTGTTTCTTCCTTTAATGTCTTCAATGGGAGGAGTGGCATATTTAGGTAATTGAAGGGGAATGGTTAAGTATTGGTCAGAGGCTGGAAGCAATGATGAACTATCTTGAGATCTGTAATTGAGAGTCAATACAAAACAAAACAGCACTTTAATTTAGTATCAACAACTTTAAGGTCCTGTTAATTCCTCAAAGCACCCAGAGAGGCACGGTGCTGCAGGGAATGCCTAACGTGGATCTGTACTGAGGAAAAGCATTGGTTTGGATTCCCTAGGAAACGTGCTAAGCACACAATCTTCATGTTTAAATTATAATTTTAATTAGTTTCATCAATAATATAATGTACCTTTATACTTATCTCTGTAATTTCTATTTACTACTCTATAACTTTAAGACAGTGGATAGAATTACTGCAACACTGGACAGGCTACAAAGGTAGTAGTGACAGCAATCAAACACAACTGAAGAATTGTGTAGTAGAGGTGATTATGGCATTGGATATGAATTTAAACTATACGGCCACTAATTGTATGGACTTATAGGTACCACACTATAGGTACCACACTAATTGTATGGACCCAAAACTATGGCCAATTGTATTGGACATAGAAATAAATAGAGGCAGTGCTCACTTTTCAAAGTAGTGGAAAAGACCATAAAAATGACTGTAAGCTGAAACAGTGCAAAGTACTTAATAATCAATGGGTGAAATTACTTTGTTCAATGATCTTTAAAGATGTTAAAACATTAAAAACTCTCTTATTGTGGCTTATAAATGGATAGGGAGCTGGAAACAATAGTAAAACTAGTATTTAGTGTATCATAATTCAAAGCAGTAGAAACATTGAGAATTAAAGCATTTTATTTTTTTGTAAAAACTTATCAAGAGTCGTTTGAACAGTGCTTGTGTTGTTCTGGTCATATACCTTATAATATGGAGTGAGCATCTTTTTGAATCATATGATTCCTAAGTTTGGATAGGCTTCCAACATTTTGTTTATGCCCTTTCAATGTCATGAGATATCTCTGAAAGTTCCTTCAACATGAAGTTTTATGCTAGTGTCACTTACTCTGGGGATACTGTCAACACTGGGTGCTGTTATTACTAAATGAAGAGCAGTCCCAAAACGACCTGAGAAGAGGGTGCTCCCTTGTAAAAAAGCCTCTCACACCTGCCTTACTCTCGATGTGATTTTCTACTAGATTTGTCTGCCACCTCTCTCAGAATGTTGGCAGTTTTGGACTGAGGTGGCAGGGAATTTCTGGCAGAGACAACAATTGTTTCTCTCTGTGCTGCCTCTAGTCCCACAAAATGCCATCAGCTCAGGAAGAGCTATGCTATTCTATTCTGGACTCAGGAGGAGGAGCAAGAAGGAAGAGAATGGAGCAGTTAAAAAAAAGAGAGAGAGAGCAGGAAGTCCTAGTAGATGAAAGAAAATGTGGTCTGGGGGAAGTTATATCTAGACCTAAACAAAAATTTGACATCCAAGTCAAAAAGAAATATTTAGAGTGTTTTTATGTCTCCTTTCATCAAGAACTACATTAAGTAGTGATACAACCCTCACGCTGTGTCTGATATAAAATATTACTCTTCTTAGAGAGGAGCTTGATTCACAAGTAAGGCCAACATGTATGATAATGAAGATTACAGATGGGCATCTGCATTTTCTGAGAAATAAAATGGCTCTTGTTTTTATAAATCATTGAATTTGCAATTATCTTCATATTTCCAATATTCCCCAAGTGGGGTCATTGATGAAATTATCCTTTAAAAAACATTCCCATCAAAGTAATCTACTTAAAAGAGGTCACCTTGTTTGCTTCATTAGTGAGCCAAAGATTTATGCAAGAACACTTTACTTCCACATTTGATTTTACTTATATCCGGTTTGTTTACCTTGGCTATAGTCATAGTGAAACTTTCATCGATACTCATAAAGCAGCCACAGATTTCCCTGTGGCAATTTGCAGCCAAATGCTACCTATAAGTTGTGTGGCATAACCCAAGTTAAAGTTCCTCCCTCTTAGCCGAGGTATCATCCCTCACCGCAGGTTAAGTTCTGATGAGCAACCTGAAGAGCAACATGTCAAAACCTATCACTTACCTGCTCCTCTGGGTGCTGAGTCACGGCCTCGTTGGCAAGGCCTTCCTTACCAAGTCCAGGGCTTCCTCAGGGCTCTGGCTCTATGAACCAGCAGGGGAGCCAGAGCAATATTATCAATCATATGGGCGCACTACTGACAGGATCAGAAAAACCTGACTTTCCAAAAGCTTCTGTGTTTTTACACAATCATTTGGTAGCCCTCAGTTGAATGTCCAAGATGCACCAAGCATTAGAGCTGGAAGAAGCCGCTGCTGTCATTGCTATTGTTTATCTGATAACAGCACTGATGGGCAGAGGGGTTATGAAGTTTATGAGGTCACAGTGCTCGGTCTGTGAGCACCTCCTGTGTCTCCCAGCCCAACACTCTTTTCTGTTCGTCTTACATCTTTGTTTCTCTTTTATTTCATTATATACTTAGACACACATGACTGTATTTAACTTAGTAGATTCTACCAAGTAGAGTGGTACCCAGCCGGAAGTGCATATCTATCTTTCAGTTTGTCAGAAAAATTACACCTGTAACTAATGAAGTTCTTGGTACGGCCCTGATTTTTTTGGCCTGATCAAATATATAAAATACTGCTAACATGAAAACATCTCCACTTACTTTATGATATTCACATCTTAGTAGATATCTGAACTCTACTGAGATCCTGAATTTGACAAAGAATTTGACAGACACTGGAAATAAAATTGGATTGTGGTCAGGCATCTAAAAACACATCTGGGGGCTCAGCTTCCTCATCTGCAGAGATAGGGCATTGGGTTAGAATTGCTTTTTTTCCCCTACACATTGGCTGCCTTATCTCCTTCATTGGCCATAGAAATATCAGTCTACTTCATCTTCCTCATTGTCTTTAAAATACAAGTGAAGAAGGCTGACTTAAATTGTGTGGTAACTGTCAAATCTGAAATAAAGTGAGGGTTAGCAAACACACCCTGAGACGCCTTCTGGCTCTAAGAGTGAATGGCAAAGTCAGAGATACTCTCCAAAAAATCAAAATAATGCCTGCTATAACAGGCTAGCTGACTTCTTTCACTAAAAAAGAAATGTACTACAAAGAATTAAACAAAAAATTACCAGTGCGATTATGTTTTCCTCCTAAGAAGGGAGAGAAGGAGGAAAGGAAGGAAGGGAAAAAGGCAGGCAGGCAGACAGAAGGAGGGAAGAAAGTGTGTGTGATTAAACTCTTTTTCCTCAGAGGAAAGATATATAATGATTAATAACTAATGCCCCAAATAGAATGTTTATTATAAAAGTAGGCAAAGTAGAATCTTTTTCTTCACTTATCAAAAGAGATATAGTTTATTACCTTCAAAGTCCACATCTCCAACTAATTTTGTCTTTCCTGTCACTGGGTCATGGACGTAGTTGATACCTACATCAATTATGGCAGCACCTTCCTTAACCATATCAGATGTAATCAATTTTGGAATACCTGAAAGCAAAAAAAGAGTTATGAAATACTCTGGAAAATACTTACTTAAACTTTGTCCTTGAGTATTTCAAAGTTTTATAATCTAGTGTTTTTGTTGCCATGGCTTTAAAAATATATACACAATAGACTGTTCCTAAGGAAGAGGCCAACTACTTCGATCAAGCACAAGAACAAAGGTAGCACATGGAGGCTTCTGTGGATAAAATCCTTCCAGGAATTACCCTTTCACCTTAGAGATTGCTTACTGGACTTCTGCAAATGGGTACCTGCTTGAGCAGCATCCTTTGGTATTTCCTCCTATAAACAGCATGGGGAGATTATGGAGATGAAACAGACCCCTACTGACATTGCATGGAGTGGAGTGAAAACAACTTGGAAATTGGAGACAGAGAGAAGGAAGAGAGGGAGGGAGGGAAGAGGGATAAAAAGCAAAATGTGAGAAATAGTTCAAATACCTCAGGGCTGAGGTAAACTGTAAAATGCCATACACATACTGGTACCTCATCAACTCAAACATGAAGTATTATTTTGAGATTTCTTTTAATTTTTTTCTTGGTTTCTTTTATGTTTGTATATTACTTGGAAAAGTGTAAGATATAGTAAGCTCTACTCACTATTTCTCCATTCCAGTTTCAAAGAGAGCTCTACAGAGATCTTATGTCACCATCGATTTTCTATTACTATTTTCAAAGTTTATTTCAAGTACCACAGTACCAGCTATCAATAGTTAATGTTCCATTTTTTTGTTGATAATTAACAAACCATTCCCAAACTTAGTGTCTTAAAACAATTTATTTTTATGTTTCATGGTTCTATGGGTTCACTGATCTCAGATGGATGAATCTTCCTTGGGGTCTTTCATATAATTGGAATCAGATCGTGGGTAAGGCTAGAGTCAGCCAAGGATGTGACCAAGCTGACTGTCCAAGATGGCTCACTCACATGGCTGCCATTGCTGCTCAAGGTTGGCTAAGCTCAGATGGGGCTGCCAACTGCAGCCCACAGGCATGTTGTCTCCACGGTCTCTCTTGAGCTTCTCATAGCCTTGCAGCTGGCTTCCAAGAGAAGAGTGAGTGTTCCAAGAGTCAGGAAGTAGAAGTTGCCAGTTCCTTAAGGCTGGAACCTGGAAACTGGCACAATGTCACTTCTATCATATCCCAACGGTCAGAACTAACTTAGATTTAAGAGGAAGGAGACAGATGCCATTTTTCAGTGGGGGAAAAAAAATCAAAGAATTTGTGGTCATTTTTGCTCTACCACAGTGCCTCTGGCGGACATTGTGTCTGGTAGGTGATTTAGTCATTTTCACACTCTACATGCCTTGCAGGAAAAGGGCTACCTGTTGTGTTGTTGAAGTCTTTTTTCTAGCATCTGAACTATCCATTTAAACATTTCAGATGGCTTCAATGTCACTTTGTGACATACGATTTTTAGTGCTAGTACAAATTTAAAGGAAGAAACAGTCAGTGCCAAATAGATGTAGCTATCTGATAGGTTCCTCAGCCACATGATGATATAACCAATGAGGCATCAATGTTTGACATTTATTTTTTTCTCTTTCTTTCCTATCCTGTCCCATGGAACTTCTTCCTTTTTATTAGTGCTGGCATAGACACTGCTCTAAAGATGGTCATAAAATTCTGTTTCTTTTTGGCATTCAATAAAAAAAAATAATACATTGGTAAGGCTGCAGGAAATAGGTTTAAGATGAAAATGTTGATGAAATAGTTGTTAAAATGCAGCTGCTATGCTTTGAGAAAGAGTCAAATTTTCTTTCCAATTATAATTGTCCATTACAGGTTTTCTGAGAATATCAGACTGGCAATTGACAAATGCACAATTTTCGAAATAGAAGGAAATGTGAGCTTGATTTTAATTTACAGGAAAATTACAACATGGAAAAATACTTAAATTAATTTTCATTTTTTCTGATGATGATGTTACACATGTCCATTGCAGAAAATCTAGAAAATATCCAGAAGTTTAAGATGGGAATAAAATCACTATAATCTCATCATCTAAACATAAGTATATTATTATTATGTTCTTTCTAGGATTTCAAAATATTTATGTATTAGATATAAAGCATGATGTCTGTAATTTTGTTTATATTGTGCCTCACTATGTACCTTCCACTTTGTGATTAAAATTAATTGTGATCATTTTCCCATTTTATCAATTATTTGGAATTTTAAACCCACATGAAATAATTTATTATATGGATTACCACAATAAGTTATTCATTCCTGCAACTCTAATATGTTGCTATCATAAATAATATAGTGATCATCATTTATGTTCAGAAAATTACAGATGATTTAATTGAAGCATCAAATTTCACAAAGTTTTTCACTGAGCCCTTATTAACATGATGGAAAATGTTGGTTGTGTTGGTTGGATGAAAGTTCCTATTGGTAGAGCCATGGCTGGTTAAATACCATATCCCAAAACTACTGATCAGTGCACCTGTGAGAAGGTCTATTGAGGTCTTCCATGAAAAGTCAGTGACATTTGTAAAATTCAAAAAAAACTTGGAAGAACACACTGACCTCCTCCAGGCACATTTTCCACCTTTTCTGCTCTATTCTTTGCCAGGGGTGAGGCTGATCCTCACAGGGGTTTTGTGTGTTTCCTATTCTCTCTTAGAACCCTGTCATAGCCATGAGAACAAGCTCAAGCTAGCCTACGGGAAGATATAAATCCTAGGGAGGAAAGCTAAACCATTTCAGCTGAGGCCTCCAGCTCAGTCAGCCTCTATCCCACCAGCTGAGGGCAGATGCTTGAGCAAGCCCAATCAAGATCAGAAAAATGAGCCAAGGCCACCATAACCAACTAGTTGAACTACAGACTCATGAGAAATTACAAAAAAAAAAGGTGGTTGTTTAAAGTGACTGGGTTTTTTTAAACCATATACAGCAATAACTTTATTGTCTATATTTGTAAATGACACAAAATCAGATAGAATACCTCATAGGTAGCAACTTTGGAATAATGGACTATAAGTAGCAATAAGAATTTGAAAGGGAACAAATGTTTAATTCCAAGCAGGTGCTGTACTTGATTAAAAATTCATAAAAACTATTAGACTATGATAAGACAAATAGTGTCCAGATACAAGAATGAAATGTTTCAGACTATATTTTAAGCAGGCAATCTCTGGAAACACTGATTGTATTCCAGAGACTGGTCTAGACAAGAATGATTAGAACAGATCTAGAAATCATGTCAAATGGATCAAGTACTATCAAACTAATTGGTTCAATTGTTTTCCAATAGTTTTCAACAAGGCACAAAAGCTTGTGCCACAATGTAAAGCAACCATATCACTAAACACACTGTTTAATTCAGCTAGCTTTATTTTTTCATAGCAATTTATTTTCGGGTGCAATTCCTTATCTTCTTGTGGATCTGTAGTTATGTAAACATACAGTTCCCAGAGGGTAAGAAACAGTCACAGACCAGTACCAGTCTACACATTGAATACTTCTGAAACAGAGAAATGGTTCAATAAACTCAGGGTGCCTATCTGAGGAAAACAAACAAAAATGCAACTAAAAACAAAAGCAAAACCCAATAATTGTGGCGGTCTTCAATAAGTTAAACTGAATAGGGAGTAGATTTACTCTGTTTCAGAAAAAGAATAAAGAAAGGAGGGAACAAAGGAAGGGAGTGGATTTTACCTCAATATAGAGAATATTTTAAGAACAATAAAAATTCCAAGAAGAGAAACTACACTGTCATTATGCCTTATTAGAAATATTCATAATAGGATAAAGGAGAGATTGAACTGGGAAGGTTAGTGATTCTTTCCAATTCTATGTTTAAACATTTCCTTTTGTCAAGTCAAATTAAAATTTTTTCTTTCTTATCTCAACTAATTCATTTTGAACCCTTTGAGACTTCTGAAGCTATCATTCTGCTGAAGAAAAAAACAGTACAAATTGTACTTAATAGTTGAAATTATAATAAGTGAACATACAAAAATCTCTATTTTCAGGTATTTTAAACTCTAAGTGGTCCACTTGCTTTGTTTTCTTGTAGAGGCAAATGATTAGAAGTATAAAGTTGTTCTTTAATTGTATTTTTAAAGACACTGAAAAGAAACTTCTCAGAAAAGATGTATTTAGCTCCCCAAGTATACAAATACAATATATTTAAATTTTTATCACTTGATAATGATTAAATAGTATTAAAAGCTATTTAAATACCTGGTAAAGAAAAGATACGTACATACCATTAGGATGTGGAGTCAGAGAAAATTGCTTTTTGTTAAAGTTGAAAATGAATAGTGATCTCAAGTGAGTATTTCCTATGAGCGCTTTTTTTTTTGCTTTGATAATTCCATGGAAACTATCCTTAATTCTTATATAATTTGAAAGCTCAAGCATTATATGTGAGAACCGAAACCATCCACACCCACATAACTTGCTGTATACATTAATATGCTTTACTATTCTACTGTCTTTGTTAACATGCCTTTATTATTCCAGGAAACTCTTGTTCAGAAAGACAGAAGTTGCAAGTAATTTTATTTTCTCAGGAATTTACTGAAAAACTCATTTAATTAACATAAAATTGTTTGACTTTTCAGTAGAGACTATCAAATGATTGTTCATTCTCCAAGACTCTAGGAAACCCTTGTGCCAAAACCCTTTCCGTGTTGTGTCCACCAATTCCAAACTTTTATATTATGATCCTTACCCAATCTTAATCAAATATTCAAATTAAAAGACTTGCTTTAAAGTAAACTTCAACATGTCCTAAATATCCCAAGTTTGCTTCTACAGTCCAAGATGCCACTAGGTAAACTTGCTCTTTGGGGAAAAAGAAATCCCTGATTTGTAGAACTTGATGATTTCTGTGATATAAATACTCTTACCAAGGCATAAATCATCCTAACATGTTTGACTTCAAGCTACGAAGGTGACCTCACCAAACACAGAATTGGGATAAGATGCTCAGAATCAATTTTTGCAGGCCAGATCTAGCACACCACTGAT